ATGAATATTTTTTATGTGATGTATCAGTAATAGAGACAGATTACAAGACACATCCATATCAGAGAAATTTGCAGATGAATTAAAACAAAAAATTTGAAATTTTTAAAAATCCATCCCAGGAAGACGTTGACCAAACCTGGATGGATATTAGGAATATAATTCAAACCACTGTAGAAGATTGTCTTGGTGTGTCCACCATAAACAGAAAGAAGAAATGGTGCAATACAAAATATTAAAAAGCCGTCAGTATTAAAAAGCATGCCAGGAAGATTTGGCTAAATGATACTAGTAACATACGAAATGAAGCAAAAATAGAACAGTATATAAAGAAGCAACAGAAGAAGAAGAAGAAGAAGAAGAAGAAGAAGAAGAAGAAGAAGAAGAAGAAGAAGAAGAAGAAGAAGAAGAAGAAGAAGAAGAAGAAGAAGAAGAAGAAGAAGAAGAAGAAGAAGAAGAAGAAGAAGAAGAAGAAGAAGAAGAAGAAGAAGAAGAAGAAGAAGAAGAAGAAGAAGAAGAAGAAGAAGAAGAAGAAGAAGAAAGAAGAAGAAGAAGAAGAAGAAAGAAGAAGAAGAAGAAAGAAGAAGAAGAAGAAGAAGAAGAAGAAGAAGAAGAAGAAGAAGAAGAAGAAGAAGAAGAAGAAGAAGAAGAAGAAGAAGAAGAAGAAGAAGAAGAAGAAGAAGAAGAAGAAGAAGAAGAAGAAGAAGAAGAAGAAGAAGAAGAAAGAAGAAGAAGAAGAAGAAGAAGAAGAAGAAGAAGAAGAAGAGAAGAAGAAGAAGAAGAAGAAGAAGAAGAAGAAGAAGAAGAAGAAGAAGAAAGAAGAAGAAGAAGAAGAAGAAGAAGAAGAAGAAGAAGAAGAAGAAGAAGAAGAAGAAGAGAAGAAGAAGAAGAAGAAGAAGAAGAAGAAGAAGAAGAAGAAGAAGAAGAAGAAGAAGAAGAAGAAGAAGAAGAAGAAGAAGAAGAAGAAGAAGAAGAAGAAGAAGAAGAAGAAGAAGAAGAAGAAGAAGGAAGAAGAAGAAGAAGAAGAAGAAGAAGAAGAAGAAGAAGAAGAAGAAGAAGAAGAAGAAGAAGAAGAAGAAGAAGAAGAAGAAGAAGAAGAAGAAGAAGAAGAAGAAGAAGAAGAAGAAGAAGAAGAAGAAGAAGAAGAAGAAGAAGAAGAAGAAGAAGAAGAAGAAGAAGAAGAAGAAGAAGAAGAAGAAGAAGAAGAAGAAGAAGAAGAAGAAGAAGAAGAAGAAGAAGAAGAAGAAGAAGAAGAAGGAGAAGAAGAAAAGAAGAAGAAGAAGAAGAAAAGAAGAAGAAGAAGAAGAAGAAGAAGAAGAAGAAGAAGAAGAAGAAGAAGAAGAAGAAGAAGAAGAAGAAGAAGAAGAAGAAGAAGAAGAAGAAGAAGAAGAAGAAGAAGAAGAAAGAGAAAGAGAAGGAGAAGAAAATGGAGGAAAGAAGAAAATGAAGAAGAAAAGAAGAAAGAGAAAGAGAAGGAGGTAAGAAGAAGGAGAGGACGAAGAGAAGGAAGAGAGAAGAAGGAGAAGGACGATGATGATGATAACAATAATGTAAATAAGAAGAAGAAGAAAAGATTCTCTGTTCCTTTTCATTTCCTTTGTAAAAAAAAACTCTCACTGACAACTGTACTCTCTTCTTGTGGCTTATTATACATTGCGCCACCCTTTGATTTTAGATACATAATTCTCTCACACCCATCGTATCTTTAAATAAGACCACTTAGAAACAGCATATTATATCTCTCCTTTCCTTTATACGTGTACATTGTCCATTACCTATTTCTTTATCTTTTCATATGCGATACCAGACATCCTTCAGTGAGATGTATGCCATCTTTCTCTGAGTTATTACCCAATTCTATAATAGCGAATGGTTTGTTTTTTCCCGCATATATATTCTCTGTTTAGCTCAAACCACCACTTTACTTGAACAGCACAGACTCTCTAAATCCAGATATTAGCTCTCAGTTATAACACATTATGTTATCATTATCGAAATCTTTGGACGTTAGGCACCCCCATACGTGCCCAGTCCCCTCGTGCAGCAGCCACCCGAATGTATCTCTACTGCTTGTACCCATGACAAGCTGGTTAACCTGTCTTCAACTCGAAAACGGCATAGACGTGCTTCACCAAGCTAAACTCCTCTGTCACGCAATCGTGAAATAGATCCACTTGTCTGTTTCACACCTTTTCCTACTTTCCTCCTCGTCATTTCTTCCCTTTGCCATACTCACATCCTTCATCACTCACAAGTACGTAGACTCAGTCTAGGTGACGTGCCACTGACGATAATCAGACCTTGTGATTTTGGGAACACAACTTGGCGAAAATAGCTGTGCTCTCTCCGAGGTTAATATGAGACATGGCCAGCCTTTGCAAGACAGGATCGCTGCATCGCAGGACTGCACATGCTGATAATGACAATGGGGTGTCGTGTCGATTGTGATAGCATAACACAACAGAAGAAACACAGCCAACAACCCACTTCACTTTAACTGTTATTGATACTTCTTTTTCTTCTTCAGCATTCCGAGCCCTTGGGTTTCACTGCTGCAGATATCACCCGCCTCCATCCATCTCTCTAGTTGACCTCTTTTCAGTTGGTGACACCACGTGTTTACAGGTATCTCTGTACACTATCTCTGTACACTATCTCTCCATCGTCTTTTTGGTCTGCTTCGTGGGTGGTCTTCGACCATTCATCTCCCTTGTGTATACAGTTTTACCTCTCTGACGTATAACATTCTCTCAAATAGCCCAATCCATTTCAAACCATCAGCTTTCATGATGCCAATGATCAATAGTGATTTAAACCGATTATTAATTTCATCGTTGCTTCTCACTCTCCATCACCGCTAATTACTTATTTGATAGGTCCACAGATTCGACGTAATATTTGTTTTCGAAAGCCTGCAATGAGCTTTCATCTCTTTTTGTTGTGCTCCAAGTTTCAGAGCCATATAAAACGACTGGCTTTATCAGGGTTTTATATATTTTGATCTTGGTGTTGCGAGACAAACACTTTGATTTTAGCAGATGTTAAAGGGCATAGTATACTTTACTTCTAGATTATTTTTTATATTGTATTTCTTCTCTCAGCATGTTGGAGTAGGTGAAGTTGGCACCCAAGTACTTAAATGTTTCTGTTTGTTTGATTATCATATTATCAACTTGTATGTGACCGGAGTTTGTAACTTTTCCCTGTCTTGTTATTATCATGTATTCTTGACTTATAACTAGACCCATTGCTGAGCTGCTTTTTTTAAAGAAAGTCAATGTTTTTACAGCAGTCTCTAGTCCATTTTCTCCAACAATATCAAAGTCATCTGCATAACCAAGCATTCTTATAGTTTCTGCTATAGCACACTCTTGTTTCAATTTCCTTATAATTTTAACCAGGGCCAAGTTGAACAGAAGTAGGGAGAGACCATTATATTTCTTTAAACCAGATATTTTTTGAAAAGGATCTGACTTTCTGCCTTTATATATTACTTTATTACAGGTGTATTCCATACATAGTTTGGTCATGGTGATTAACTTTCTTGATATTCCATAAGTCATTCATAACATCCCATAAACTGTTTCTATGTAAACTATCATACACCTTCTAAAAATGTACAAAAACATTATGTATATCTCTTCCATATTCCCATTTTTGCTCTGCTATTTGCCATAAAACGAATATCTTATCTATTGTTGATCTTATATAATGTCGAACCAGACATTATGCAGCACATTCACAACGCCTGTTACAGACGCCGGTCTTGATCGAGGGGAAAGTTATTTTGAATAACAACAAATGTGACGTTCCACACAATAACTGATACGTGTTTTATAGCAGTTGTTTGAAAGTTTTCCCGATGTTTGAAAGTTTCCCCGATGTTTGAAAGCTTTCCCGATGTTTGAAAACTTCCCCAATGTTTGAAAGTTTCCCCGTTGTTTGAAAGTTTTGCACTTTGTAGAGTTAACTCAGCGGTTTAACTTCTCATATCATAGTCATGCTTGAAAAAAAAAATACTCAGTACCTTGACAGTTTTCCGGCTCATCCATTCGCCCCCTCCCCCTTTCCTTACCCAAGGTGTCTTGTGCCCTCCTTCACACTGGTTGGCCACTTCACAAGTGCTCTCTCCGATCGCATGTTGCGTTTAATGTTGTCAAACTATGTCTATTTCTGAGACAAGATGATCTTTACAAGAAAAGTACTTGATAGCAGGACATTATAGGACTTATTTATTTTCTTTGTGGTCCGTGTTTTATATGTTTTCTTTCTTTCTTTCTTTCTTGTAAGAAAGCTCTTATTTTCTTGTAAGGTAATCCACAACTCACAAACATAAGCAAAAAAAGCTTTTATTTTCTTACAAGGTAATCCACGACTTACAGATATAAGCAAGAGACTCTCATTTTTTAAAATAAGGTAATCCACGACCTACAGACATAAGTTACTGTAAAAACAGACTCAGACACTCTTAATTGTAATTTTGATTTGTATGCTTGATGGAGGTTAGCCAAACATGGACAACATGTCTATGATCAAGGCGCCCAAAGAGGAAGCAGCAGAGCATTGTGTCTCGCCGCTACCTAAAGCGACACAAGAGAAAATGAAAAGAACAGAAGAAGACATTTTTTTTTTCAGTTTCTTTATTATTTATTGTCATTTTGTATTGCAGAGTTTTGTCTGTAGACATTATTTATGTGTTCTTTTAACTGAAGAAAATGTTTTGACTTTCACATTTATGTGCGTTTCAGTTTTCTTTAATTTCAAGAAATCATATATTCACACACAATGCTGTTTGCACACATGTGTTTGCGTAATTTCTCCTCTTCTCTTGATCGGGTGCTCAGTGGTATCGTGGAATGGTGTCTGCATCGAGTCCTGGAGGTCAGTGGTATCGTGGTATGGTGTCTGCATCGAGTGCTGGAGTTCAGTGGTATCGTGGTATGGTGTCTGCATCGAGTGCTGGAGCTCAGTCGTATCGTGGTATGGTGTCTGCATCGAGTGCT